ATCTCCCTGGACCCAGCCCTTCGGCAGGCGGGATCTAGACGAAGAACCGCCGCGGCTGGTGGATCTCCCCTTCGCCTTCTCCGTCGCCGACGCCTTCTTCGCGCGTTCCAGCGCCGCCGTCTTCTCCTTGGCCATGGTTGCCGGTGAGACGCGCGAGGAGAAGTTGTGCGGAGGCGAGAGCGAGCGCGTTGGGCGGAGACGAAGGGAGCAGAGAAAGAGAATGCTGAGGCACTGTTCAAAAAACCCTCGCCGGGCGCATTTATAAGGTCCCTTCCGAGTGGATGATAGGTGGGCCCGATCGATCTAATCATATCCTGGAACAGTTATGCAGGCGGGATACGTGGCGAAGAAAGCGGCGCGGGGATCCAGGCGTCTATGTCCCGTCCCATCCGAACGCCGCGGTCCGCTCCGCTTCACGCGTTTCCCCAAATTTCGCATCCCGCGGAATCCGCGAACGGCAGATCGGTCTGTCAGGTGCGGGATTTCCTGCGATCCGTCGCTCGGAAATCGTCGAAGCCCGAAAGATCACTCGACGAAAGAAAAGAATGGATCGAGTCGACTGAAGACAAGTTGCTCACTATCAACGAAGAGATTCTTTGGTCCAGAACAACGCACGACCAGTGTGCAAAGGTTAATCGGAAACAACATCAACTCCTTCCTCACTCGAAGCCTCAATCCATTCGGGGGCTAATGATGGAGTCATGTACCTAGGGTAGGGTCACAGACCTGATCTAAGTACCCTGCCCAAGGACACCCTTAGAAGAGGTCACCTTCCAGTCGACCAACGAGGGACTCACTCGACTGACTTGAAGGACTCGACCACGAAGACTCACTCGACTACCAGGAGGTCAAAAGGCACTCTGCACTGCAACGGCCTGTAGTTAAGTAGACTTTAAGGTAGTTAAGACACTTTATGTGGGACGTTACCAGTAACGCCCCGGACTTAATGTCCCTTAAACCCTTCATTACGTGGGCTGGCTGGGGTCCTGGCGCACTCTATATAAGCCACCCCCCTCCACAGGCAGAAGGGTTCGGCACCCTGTAACTCATATACACACAATCCACTCGACCGCCTCCGGGCTCCGAGACGTAGGGCTTTTACTTCCTCCGAGAAGGGCCTGAACTCGTACATCTCTTGTGTTTACAACTTCTCCATAGCTAGAACCTTGCCTCTCCATACCTACCCCCCACTCTACTGTCAGACTTAGAACCACGACAGGCGGCGGCCAAGGGGGTGGAGTAGCCCCCAAGGCAAGTGGAGGCGCCCCCTCCCCTAGGGTTCCCAACCCTAGGCGCATGGGGGGCCCAAGAGGGGGGGGGGTGCACCAGCCCACTATGGGCTGGTTCCCCTCCCACTTCAGCCCATGGGGCCCTCCGGGATGGGTGGCCCCACCCGGTGGACCCCCGGGACCCATCCGGTGGTCCCGGTACAATACCGGTGACCCCGAAACTTTCCCGATGGCCGAAAGTACACTTCCTATATATAATTCTTCACCTCCGGACAATTCCGGAACTCCTCGTGACGTCCAGGATCTCATCCGGGACTCCGAACAAGTTTTGGATTACTGCATACTCATATCCATACAACCCTAGCGTCACCGAACCTTAAGTGTGTAGACCCTACGGGTTCGGGAGACAAGCAGACATGACCGAGAAGATTCTCTGGTCAATAACCAACAGCGGGATCTGGATACCCATGTTGGCTCCCACATGCTCCTCGATGATCTCATCGGATGAACCACGATGTCGAGGACCTAATCAATCCCGTACTCAATTCCCTTTGTCAATCAGTACGTTACTTGCCCGAGACTCGATCGTCGGTATCCCAATACCTTGTTCAGTCTCTTTACCGGCAAGTCACTTTACTCGTACCGTAATGCATGATCCCATGATCAACCACTTGATCACATTGAGCTCATTATGATGATGCATTACCGAGTGGGCCCAGAGATACCTCTCCGTCATACGGAGTGACAAATCCCAGTCTCGATTCATGCCAACCCAACAGATACTTTTGGAGATACCTGTAATGTACCTTTATAGTCACCCAGTTACGTTGCGACGTTTGGCACATCCAAGGCACTCCTACGGTATCCGGGAGTTGCACAATCTCATGGTCTAAGGAAATGATACTTGACATCCAGAAAAGCTACAACAAACGAACTACACGATCTTTGTGCTATGCTTAGGTTTGGGTCTTGTCCATCACATCATTCTCCTAATGATGTGATCCCGTTATCAATGACATCCCCATGTCCATAGCCAGGAAACCGTGACTATCTGTTGATCAACGAGCTAGTCAACTAGAGGCTCACTAGGGACACATTGTGGTCTATGTATTCACACATGTATTACGATTTCCGGATAACACAATTATAGCATGAATAAAAGACAATTATCATGAACAAGGAAATATAATAATCATTTTATTATTGCCTCTAGGGCATATTTCCAACAGTGTGGAGGTTTGTCTCCGTCGGATCTCACGGGAATAGGTCGGTGCCAGTCTTCGGTGGATCTGTTTGGATTCGGTCTTCGTTCGTCTTCATTTGGGTGTTGATAGATTTGATCCTTCTGATCTACGACTTTCTTCATCGGAGATGGTTACTACTTTGGAGTGCTGGTCCTATGGAGCCTTAGCGCAATGACTTTCCGACTGTCTACTATATAACAAGGTTTGTCCTGTTGCGGTGAGGGAGGGGCGATGACGGCGGCATGCTCCAGTGCTTATAGTCGTCGTTAGGTTGTCCACGAACATGGTTGTAATTTTCATTACCTCTATTGTTCTTTGTACTACAATGATTATTGAAGAGGAATCTATTAGAAGTTTCTTGCAAAAAAAGAAAGAAAGTGGACAATAGTTTTTTTTTGAAAAAGTTTCTACTATAGGACAAAAGGTGAGTTTAGGTGCTAACCAGTGATGGGCCTAGGAACCACCGGGCCTTGCAAAATAAGATCTTGGGAGTCGCAAGACCAAAGGCCCCCATAGGATTATCCTAAAATCCACGTTGATGCAGCGGTGAGGCTAGGTGGGAGGGGGGGGGTTCAGCATCGATAGTGTGTAGAGACCATAATGGTAATTATCTTGGCAGTATGTCTCTAGTCATTGTTGGTGTTAGCGATCCAGTAGCGTTGGTGACAATGGCATGCTGAGAGGCTCTATCACTAGTAGCAGATCTTCACCTACATAACTTTGTTATTGCATGTGATTCAGAAAAAGTTGTGGGAGACAACCAAGGCAGGACAGGAGCACTCATCAGCGAGATCAAAACCAGAGCAACTTCTTTTAATTGTATCTTTACTTTTGAGGATCGTGCGGTCAATGCTGATGCGCACAACCTAGTTAGATTTTCTCTTACTTAAACTCCGAGTCGTCATGTATGGTTTGGATAAGCACATGACACAAATTGTATCCCACCTGTTGTGGTTTTTGATCAATAAAGTTGGCTTTATCTCTAAAAAAAGTTGTGGGTGTAGGAAGCCGGAAATATAACACGTATTTTCGTTTATCCGACGTGGAGAGTTTAGCAAGATAAACGTGGAGGAGGCAGGTATATAATAGGAGGGCAGAGCAACCAAAAAACATGCTTACCTGAACAAAGTCAATGAATGATCAATAAGGCTGGCCTAGACTGATCTCGCACATTGCACATAGTGAGCATGTCAGTTTATCATCTCCTTTTCGTGGGAGAGTGAACATCATAATATGTGATAGAGGAGCAATCGTCCGCCTGGCCCCTACAAACTATTTGATTTTTTTATTGCAATTTTTATGCCATGTGTAGTATTTTCTTTTTCTTTTTGAAAAAGAGGCATGGATTTGACTCACCATTAATTAAGAAGGGAATAAAGTTTGGTTTACACATGCATATGAGGACATATGCCTCCCAACATTATATTATGTTGTTTCTTGGCTTCCGCGGTTACCCCAAGTTTCACCTCAAGTTTGATGTTGTTGAGATGGATTGAAGAAGTAGTGCTCTTGTGATGAAAGACATGGGTATTCCGTTCATTCCAAACGGTCCAAAAAATAAGCATTGTGAGAGAGGCCATGTTCTTCCTATTGGGGATGCACTTAGCGGATAGATTGACTCACCACTTCACGAGGGAATGCTCCAAGTGCCAAGATGAGGTGTCAATGGGCCCAATGTGAAGCCACTCATGTGTCAAAATTCCATACCCTAGTAGTGAAGCGACACTTAAAGAAAAGGTGCATTCCGAACGGAAATTCAATTTGGCTCCCAGGCCCAATTTTTTTTCAAATGTCAAAAAAATTGAGAGAAAATTATTTTGTGATCTTTGTCACATACAAATGCTACCTGTAAATTTTTAGGCAAAAAGGTTAAGCATTTTGGCCTACGCAAAATAAAAATCAAAGACCAAATGTCACCTCAATTTTGTTTTTTCATTGATGAAACACCCCTGCTCCATTCAATATGAAAATTGTCAAGCATGCTTGCGACACCAACACGATCGTCTACAAATTTATTTAGAATTTTTTGAAAATATTTACTATTTTTGGAGGTACTATTCACCCGGGAGCATGTACTCCCGGGAGGCAAAACGCCGCTAATTCTTGTTCCCTCTTGCATAGAGGGAAAAAGACCGGCGTTTGGAAACCCATGCTTGGTCAATCTACCGGCCGTCCAAATCCTATCTTGAATGGCTAGCCAAGCAAAAGAAAAGACCTTTGGAGGAGCCAAAGTCTTCCAAATCGTGTGCTCCAAAGAAGAGTCGATGATCCTCGAAAATTGCACCGCGTGAGCTGAGGCCATTGAGTATTTTCCATTAGCCGCGTGCTTCCACAAAATGTCGCATGCTCCTCAAGGTGAAAATATTGAAGAAGCTTCCGAAGGGTGATGAATTCCCGAATGTGAGCCATGGAGAGGTTGATCGTTATCTTGACTTTGAAGACCCAAACATGCAATGTCCGTGGGCTTCCTCTCTTGCACCCATGCTGCATCCCATAGAGGAGTCTTTTTTGATAAACTCCTTCTCCTTTATTCATTCATAAGTAAAGTAGCATCATTTACAAGTAAAAGGATAACCTCATCAGGGGCGTTATCCATCCAAACACTCGGATAAGAAAACCTAGCCAACCTTGCTAGTTCATGAGCTACTCGATTACTTTCCCTATTACAATGATCATAAATGACATGGGGAAAACCTAATGACATAAAGTAACAGTAATCTATAATGGATGAAGCGACTAAAGATGAGTAGCCTTGGCTCAACGCATTCACCACCTCCATGCTATCCGTATTCACTTCAATCTAAGTGCATCCGACGGTATTAGCAAGATTCAAACCAAACCTCACTGCAATTGCTTCTGCTGTGAACCAGTCGAAGCAAAGGTCCATCTTTTCATTAGCAGCCGCTATAAATTTCCCCCTATGGTCCCGAATAACTGCTCCAAATATTGCTGCGAGTGTGTCATTATCAGATCCCGCGTCAATGTTTAATTTCACGTAACCATACTTTGGTTTCAGCCAAGCATCTGCACGGACGTGAGCCTTTGGGCTATAAGAGATGGTATAATTTTCTACTAAGCCTCTCACTAATATATTGATTTGACATGCGCTTAGAGTTTCTTCGTCATGTGTCCATTTTCGCCTTTCATACCAAAAATACCAAGCCGTCGTTGCCATCGTTTCTCTGAACTTCAGCAAGCCCAACACTTGGATTTGTTGTTCTGGAAGGCACAAAAGATGTGCCAACACAAGCTCACTTGCCTTGTCAACTTTCAGTGCCTATTTGATAACAAGCTCAAGACCGAGCAGCTTCCACATGTCCATTGCCAATTTGCATTCAAACAACATATGTCTTATGTCATTAGGCCCCTGGTTACAGGCTGGGCAGCTCGGATTTATTTTCAAGTGCTTATTAGCCAGGATAGATCGATAGGGAATAGCACTCAGGAGCACGCGCCACATAGATATTTTTATCTTTGCTGGGCACACTAAGTTCCATACCGAGTCCCATGTATAAGTTGGGTTTGAAGCTCCAGCCCTTGATTCCAACTTGTGACCAAATTGAAATTCCCATTCTGTATGGTATGCAGATCACACTGTGGAAGTCCCTGACTTTGTCATGGTCCATGCCAGGAAATCTGTCATCTCATGTAATGGTAGTGGAATGGCCAAAATCCTTAGAGCATCCACTTGCCAGACTATTTGGTTAACCAGCTGCTCATCCCAACTCCCTATCACCAGATCAATGAGGCCAGAAACTCTAGAAAGAAGATTGTTGCCCCTTGGTGAAATCACCTTTCTTGTTAGGCTCTGCAGTATCCAGGGATCATCCCATATTCTAATTTTCTCACCATCACTAACTCCCCAAATATACCTACATCTAAGCGTATCAACTCCGGCCATAATACTCCGCCATGTATATGAACTCTTCTTTTTTAAAGTTGCATTCATGAGATCTCCATCAGGAAAATATTTCTCCTTAAGGATCAACGCACACAAAGAGTTCGGGTTGTCAATAAGGCGCCATGCCTGTTTTGCCAGAAGTGCAAGATTAAAGCAGTGAATATCTCTGAAGCCCATAACCCCTTTTTTCTTGGGAATACACATCTTCCACCATGCAAACTAGTGCATCCTCTTATGAGTTGCGTCATCGCCCCATCAAAAACGAGATATCACATCTATGATTCCTTTTACAATTTTTCTTAGGAATTTGAAAGACCGACATCGCATAAGTTGGTATTGCTTGAGCAACAGACTTAATAAGAACTTCTTTCCCTCCTGAAGAGAGACACTTCTCCTTCCACCCCGTAAGCTTCATAATTAACCGATCTATTAGGTATTGAAAACTGTCACTTTTATCAAGTCCAAGAGTAGCAGGTAGTCCCATATACTTGTCATTTAAGGCCTTGGTCATGATATTCAGACAAGAGAAAATCGGAGCCTTCATATTTACCTCGGTGCTGGGACTAAAAAAGATACTTGATTTGTCCACACTAACAAGTTGCCCGGACGCATCACAATATAAATCCAGAATTGATCTCAAGCACATTGAATTCTGAATATTAGCTTTCGTCAAAATTAATGAATCATCAGCAAAGAGTAAATTTTTTACCGCAGGTGCATCTCTACAGACCTTGACCCCCATTAAGTCTCCACTCTGTTCCGCATGAGAAAGTAGGGCTGTCAAACCCTCCGTACATAGGAGAAACAGATACGGGGAGAGTGGGTCACCCTGTCAAAGACCTCTAGAGGGTTTAAACTATTCCGTCTCCACTGAGTTATATCTCACCTTATATTCAACAGAAGACACACACAGCATTATCATCTTGACCCAGTCCTCATGGAATCCCAGCTTCAACAACATTGCTTCCAAGAAAACCCACTCAACTCTATCACATGCTTTATGCATATCAAGTTTCACCGCACACCAACCATCTTTGCCCACCTTTTTTTTGTTTTATTGCATGTAAACTCTCGTAAGATCTTAGCACATTATCCTTAATGAGTCGACCAGGAACAAAGGCACTCTGGGTAGGGCTAATGATCTCTGGGAATAACACCCTGAGTCTCGCAGTTATCATCTTAGAAATTACCTTGTATACTACATTGCATAAACTGGTCGGTCTGAATTGAGTAACTTTCTCCGGGGAATTTACTTTTGGGATCATGACAATAGTAGTGTCATTCCACCCTTGTGGCATAACCCGGGAATTGATCGCATTCAGAACTTCCATGACCAAGTCATCACCCAACATAGATCAGAACCATTGATAAAAGACCGCGTGAAGGCCATCCGGTCCTGGTGCCTTGAAATCTCTAATGGAAAAGAGGGCCTTTTCGTACCTCCTCGGCCGTGTATGTCGCCATCAGGGTCATATTCATTGCTTCCGAAACTCGCTTATGGACTTTACTCAAAACATTAATATCGGGTACGGTCACCTGGGATGTAAAAAGCTCTTTGAAATAACTCGCAATGATACTGTTTATATCATTAATAGAGGAGTCTTGGTGTCATTCCTGCCGAAGCAATTGCCCAACCAGGACTAACTTGACTTCTTCTGAAGCAACTGCCAAACCTTATATACGAATGAGTTTTTGCCACGGTTGATTATATGCCCATCTCATCCTGCTGTAACGACGGGCATAGGATGTAGAGCTTGATGTGACGGGTCTCCACATTGTATAAGCTCTATGTCGTCCCTTCCAACATCTCCACGTCCTAGATGCAGAGCTTGATGTCAATAGTTGCCGTTGGCTGATGATCCATGCACGTGCCATGTCAACCGCATGCGCTCCTTCCTCATTTTTCTTTCTGAGATTAACTAAAGTAGAGAACTGATCTAGTACTGTCGAGTCCTTTCAAAAAGAAGACCAGGATAGTTTTTCTAGGAAAAAAGTAAGATTAGGTGCTAACAAGCTATGGGTTGGGACCTCCTATATAGCGACCTGAGCGCTGGCAAACAAGACAGCGCGCAGCCCCTCGCTTCCCAAGCGCGACCTTGGGCCGACCCGGCTGTGGGACGCGGCTCCCGTTTTTTCATTTCATTTCATTTCTAGTTTTGTTGCTTCTTTAAAAAAAATTGGGATTCAAAAACTCTAGAATTTGAAACAGTGTTCAATAAATGCAAAAAGCGTTCATGGTTTTTATTTTTTTTACGAATTCAAAAAATGTTCACAATTTATTCAAATGAACTATTGAATTTTGATTGGCAATTTTTAATTTTGAAGAACAAAATTTGAATATTCGAAGATTTTCTTTAATTTAGTTTAATGTTTTGATTTGATGAAGAAAATTTAAATTTAATGAACATTTTTTAAATATGATGAACAAATTTTGAAACCAAGAATATTTTCAAATTCGATGAATTTTTTAATATGATGAACATGTTTTGCAATTTGTGAACATTTTTATGTCAATGATTTTTATTAATTTGATGAAAAAATTTTGAATTCAAAAACATTTTTTAATTAGATATTTTTTAAGAAATTCAGGAAAAATATTTGATTTTGATGAATTTTTTTGAATATTAAAATGTTCGAATTTCAGAACATATTCATCGATTTGAAAAGAATGTTCTGAGATTTAGAAAATGCTTGTAAATTTTTAAAAAATGAAAAAGAAAACACAAAAAATAAAAGGAAAATGAACAAAGAAAGAAAACGAAAATTAAAATTGAAAGGAAAAACAAAAAACAAAATAAGGAAAAATCCGAAAGAAAAAACACGAAAAGAAAACCCAAAAACTAGTGGTATTTCACGTTTTCTTCAGTTAACATATACTCAGTATTATATATATCCTTTATAAATTATTTTGAAAAGAAAGTACAAATTTGAAAAAGAATTCTAAAAATATTGAAAATAGCCACAAATTTGAAAAAAAGGTTCAGAAAAATTGAAAAAAGATTCCGAGAATTATGTTTAAAAGTTCATGGATTCAAAAATTTGCATGAAGTTCTCAAGGAAGTTCACGGGTTCAAGTGCATGAAGGGGAGCCTTAGCGCAGTGGTAAAGCTGCTGCCTTGTGACCATGAGGTCACGGGTTCAAAGTCCTGGAAACAGGCTCTTACAGAAATGTAGGGAAAGGCTGCGTACAATAGACCCAAAGTGGTCGGACCCTTCCCCAGACCCTGCGCAAGCGGGAGCTACATGCACTGGGGCTGCCCTTTTTCTCAAGGAAGTTCACAAATTTGAAAAAAGTTCATCGGTTTTGAAAAAACTTCATTAAATTTGGAAAAAAGTTCATCAAATTTGAAAAAAACGTTTGTCGAATTTGAAAACAAGTTAATTGATTTTGAAAAAAGTTCATCGAATTTGAAAAAGAATTCATCGACTTTGAAAAAGACACGAATTTATAAACAAAACAAAAAAAGGAAAATAACCGAATACAACTACATTGAAAAATGACCAGCGAACCGAAAAAACCAGTCTGGAAGAAGCTTTCCACAACCAGAGGAGTTCCCGCGAGTGAAGAGGGGAATAAAAAGAAGGAAATATGTTATAAAATAGTAGTCGTTTTATGGCTTAGTGGTTGAAAGAACATGCGGTGCCCTCATGTTTGGTTTTGGCAATTGATGACAATCTCTATGGACTAATGGTTGCCTTGAGTTATATTTAAAGGTTTTGTCCATAGGCTTTTCTTGGAGTACATGTGTTGGTTTCAAGGAGAGTTTGTGTCGACCAAGATGCCATTCAAGGAATTATCCAAAGATTGGTCATGTGAGTGTCGAGCTTATTGCAAGCATGTCTTGAAGAAGAAGATTGTGTGATCATTCATGTCTACC